TTCGCTCTTGTTACCCAGGCTGGAGTGCAATGGCGCGATCTCGGCTCACCGCAACCTCCGCCTCCTGGGTTCAGGCAATTCTCCTGCCTCAGCCTCCTGAGTAGCTGGGATTACAGACACACGCCACCATGCCCAGCTGATTTTTGTATTTTTAGTAGAGACGGTGTTTCACCATGTTGACCAGGATGGTCTCGATCTCTTGACCTCGTGATCCACCTGTCTCGGCCTCCCAAAGTGCTGGGATTACAGACGTGAGCCACCGCACCGGCCCAGCATTAACTTATACCAAAAATCATGACATTGTAAAAAAATTGGCGAATGGGAGTATAGGAAAAGAATGACAGACAGAAGTTTTTAGTAGAGAATTTATGGGTTTCCTTGTTTGTAGGACCCTCTATAGCAGCACTGTCCAATAGAAACATAAGGTAGGCCACATAAGTAATTTTAAATTTTCTTGTAGCCGCTTTTTAAAAAAATTGCGCCAGAGCTGCCAGTTAAAACCACATTTTTTTGTTGTTTGTTTGTTTTTTGAGGCAGAGTCTCGCCCTGACACCAGGCTGGAGTACAGTGGTGCGATCTCAGCTCACTGCAACCTCCGCCTCCTGGGTTCAAGTGATTCTCCTGTCTCCAGCCCACCAAGTAGCTGGGATTACAGGTGTGCACTGCCACACCCAGCTAATTTTGTATTTTTAATAGAGACTGGGTTTCACCATGTTGGTCAGGCTGGTCTCGAACTCCTGACCTCAGGTGATCCACCCACCTTGGCCTCCCAAAGTGCAAGGATTACAGGTGTGAGCCACCACGCCCGGCCATATATCAAAAATATATCAACGTGTAATCAGTATAACAATTATTAATGGCGTATTTTGCATCTTTTTATATTCAGTGTGTATTTTGCACTTACAATGCATCTCAATTCCAACTGAGCACATTTCAAGTGCATAAGGGAGACATGTCATTAGTGATGTCCTTATTGCACAGTGCACGTCTTGAACAAAGAAATCTGTCGTTTTCTGGAAAGTTTGGTCTAATGGGCTAACATTTGACGGAAAGATGTGGGAATATATGCAGTTCTGTATTAAAACGTCAGCTGCCAGAGCTCAGGAAGACTTCCTTGCATTCTGGATTTAAAAGTAGGCATATAGTCTGCCTGTTGGCAGAGAATGCAAACTCAAACTAAACCCTATAATGCACCCTTAGCAAAGAGAAGCAATATCTCCTGGGGCAGAACATAAATCAATAGTTTCCAATTCCCCAACAAGCAGTGAATCATTATGTTTTCATAAGGATAATTCACAGTGCATTCCAATCAAGTCTGTAAATTATAGACAAGAAGTCTATTCTTCAAGCCTCACTGCCTTCCATCCCAGAGGAGAAAACAGAAACAGCTAACAGAGAAAGCATGAAAAAAGTACCCAAGTATTGAACTGTTGATTTCATTTAAAACAACAAATCCTGCTTTTTACGACATAAAGGAATGAAAGTACGTGCTCAATTTTTACTACTTTGAAACAAAATTGAAAAATTGAGCTGAAAGAGCTTTGAGAAAAATGAAACATTTTAAAACCGTGAACTTCATTTTACTAATTCTCTGCCTACATAATACAAAAGGAAATAAAGAACTAATTTATCCATGTCCTTAGGCAGGCACTGCACACTCACACATGCACACATGTACACACACACACACACACACACACTCAAAATTTTGTATCTGATGCAGAAATCTTGAACTCAAAATTTCACATAAAAATTCTTCCATATAGCTGGGCATGATGGCACATGCCTGTAGTCCCAGCTACTTGGGAGGCTGAGGCAGGAGAATGGCTTGAACCCAGAAGGCAAAGGTTGTAGGAAGCCAAGATTGCACCACTGCACACTTCAGCCTGGGCGACAGAGTGAGACTCTAAAAAAATTAAAAAAAAAGAAAGGAAGGAAGGAATAGAGAGAGAAAGAGAGAGAGACAGAAAGAAGAAAGAGAGAGAAAGAGAAGGAAAGAAAGAAAACAAGTAAATAAATAAAATGTGGTGATTAGTCCAAGGACAGTAGCTAAGGACACTTACCAGGTATTGAGCACAAAGACAAATCACACAAGCTATTTTTTTAAACCTCAGCTTTCTTGTCACTAATGTGGGAAATTAGAGACATTTTTACAGGATTGCCATGAGGACTGAATGAGATTACCCAAGTGAATGCCGGCACAGCCTGGATTGATTAAAAAACAGTGTCTTTGGGATGCCACTGATTATGGGGGTGGAAGTGAGGGAGGGACATTTTATAATTCTAAACAGAGACAATCATGGCTGCTCAGTAGCTCAAGGGAGAGCCACTTCAGCTCAGACCCAACCAGGATATGACTTTTCTTTCCAAAGGGATTTTCTTTTCTTTTTCCTTTTACTTTGTCACCCAGGCTGGAGTCCAGTGGCACTACCTCGGCTCACTGTAGCCTCAACTTCCTGGGCTCCAATGATCCTCTCACCTCAGCCTCACAAGCAACTGGGACCACAGGCACACTCCACTGTGCCCCCTAATTTTTTGTATTTTTTTTTTTTTTTGAGATGGAGTCTCGCCCTATCGCCCAGGCTGGAATGCGGTGGTACAGTCTCAGGCCACTGCATTTCCTACTTCCCGGGTTCAAGAGATTCTCATGCTTGCCTCCTCAGTGCTGCCTCTCAAAGTGCTGGGATTACAGGCAGAAGCCATTACGCCCTGCAGAAAAAAATTTCTTTATTTTTTGTAGAGATAACGTCTTACTATTTTGCCCAGGCTAGACTCCAACTCCTGGGCTTAAGGATCCTCCCGTCTCATTCTCTCACACTCAGCCAAAGACATTTTAGGAGTACACAAAGTACTCGGATTAGATGACCCAGGCCTAGAGATAGGAGCAAGTTGGAGGAAGGAAGGAAAACCCATTTTCATCCACTTCACAGGGTTATGATGAAGACACAGTAAACATGCAGTTAATGTTAGCTGTTATTATTAGAGTGGAGTAAATATTGCATTGTTTGTGGGAAAAAAAGTATATATGAAAGGCATAAATGTCCACTTACAGGATTAAAAAAAAAATTTTTTTTTAATGTTTTGAGACAGTCTGACCCTGTCGCCCAGGCTGGAGTGCAGTGGTACGATTTCGGCTCACTGCAACCTCTGCCTCCCAGGTTCAAGCTATTCTCCTGCCTTGGCATCCCAAGTGGCTGAGATTACAGGTGCCCACGACCACACCCAATTAATTTTTTGTATTTTTAGTAGAGACGGGGTTTCACTGTGTTAGCCAGGCTGGTCCCAAACTCCTGACCTCATGATCTGCCTGCCTCAGGCTCCCAAAGCGCTAGGATTACAGGCATGAGACACCGCAA